CCCCACGTCCATGTCAGCCGTTTTCTTCAGGTTGGCCCACGGCGTATAGACCACGGTGATGTTGTTCATCTTGCAGCCTGCCGAGAGCGCGCTTCAGACAGGGCAGGACCCGAGCAGCCCTCCCTGAGCACTGGCAAATGACCACGCTCCAAACAACAAAAACTCAGGAAGGGGCAGGCCAGCACGCGCTGCAGAGCACAGATCCTCTTAAAACACACACACAGCAGATGGCAGAGTCGACGGGCAAGCAAAGGATGACGACGGGAAAGCAGGGCCCGTGGACTAGCTTCAGGGGCGTCTGAGACGCTCTAAACTGACTGCCCACCTTATTGTATGCATGCCTTAAAGAACAAAAGGACTAAGGGGAGCCCGTACAACCCTAAAACACCGCATTAACGGCTCGCAGAGGGGAAAATCAGTGGCTCCCTGAGGTCTCACTCGTGGTCTGGTGCGGCCTGGCTCACTGCCAGGGCTGCCCGCCGGGCCAGTAGGCGCCGAGCGACGGGCAGGGGCACACGCCCCGCCCTTGCCTCAGTCGCCACCCCCACCCCGGCTATGCCCTGCGTGCCTCACGCGAGCTCCCCATTCCTATCCGCCCTCTGGGGCACCCTCCGCCTCCGACCCCTCCAGCCGTCCCGCTGTCCTCTCCAGGCCTAGGTGCCCCCTACAATCCAGCTGATGCCACTGTTCCCAGTAACTTCCCAGTACAATCCAGCTGATGCCTCCGCCCCAGTAACTGGCCTTTCTTGACCCGTAACTGACTACTGACAGGTTAAGTTCTGTGAAACGAGTACGCGCCCAGCTGCCAGGCTCTACCTAGAGCACCTCCCTCCTGTAACAGGGGACTGTTCTCAGCCCTCTCGGGCTCAGGAGAGCATCCAGACACTGCAGGCTCCCCTTGATCACTTAAGCAGGAACCTCTAGGAGGTGGTTCTCAAAAGCAAATCGGCATCTCTTGAAGAGAGAAAAAAGTATGTAAGGGGAGGAGAGAGGCAAAAGTGGCCAAGAATGATAGAGACTTCTGAGCTCTTGAACCTACGGACAAGTGACGAAATAAAGGTCTCAAACAGCATTAAAGATAAAGCCAAGAGACTTATCTCTTGCTGAGTTCTTAACATCAGCTATTTTCCAGAACTCTTTCTACAAATGTTTAGGGTTAAGAGGACTCAGACAATCCTGTGTCAAAAGCAAGGAAAACAAGACACAGACGCTAATAGCTGAGGGAGGGGAGACTGGCTCTAGTCCTTCGACAGGCAACGGACGAGGTGGAGAGGCAGAGCACGCACGACGGCGCTGAGGCAAGGCGGAGGGGTAGCGCAGCCCGAAATACGCACTTCACACAGAAGTCAGGGGAGCTCGGAAAACCTCCGAGGAGGACTGACCTTGGATGCTGTTGGCCTTCACGAGGTGGGCACAGTCCATCAGCACGTCCTTCGGGATGTCCTCTATCTTCTCTCCCTGAAACAAGAACAGACCATGTCCCGGCCGCCGACCGGTACAGGAGGCCGCCAGGGCTTCGCTCCTCGTCGGGCGCAACGCTGCTCCGGGCAGGGCTCTTCGGCTCCAACTCAGCGCTGAGAATGATGCTACGCGGGTGTTTACTCAGACGAGCAAAGGCAGTGACATGGAAACACTGGCGCCAAAATACCAGCTGGAATTCATCTGAGATTTTTCTTCTCCTTTTTGCCATTCACCCTTCGTAGAAATCTTGGGGGAAGAGTGCCCACCTCTGACAAAGGAAGGTCTCTGCTGAGGTCCCTACGACCGAGTTTGAGGCTTCAAACTCCTCCTAGGTCACTGGGCCCAGGCTGACTCAGGAAGACACCGAGGCACCAGATATTCACCACCCGCCGAAAGGGAGAACTAACCTGGGCTCATCTGCTCGACAGACCTGTGCCAAGGTGAACGCTGAATAAGCAAAGCTATCCCAAAGTCACGAAAATGGTGCAGAGGCAAGGACAACAGGAAACCAATGAGCACGCTGGCGGCAAGCAGGCGTTACGGGAGCTCCGTGTGGGGGTGACACGTTCGACCTAACTAAAGGCTTGCCGCCGCCGCCAAGTTAGTTTTTATGCGTCGGCTTCTTCTGCTCCAGAGGCCAGAGGCTCTTCACTTACAGTGACGGGCGCTCACAGACGCACGTTCTGCGCGGCCGCGGCGCTGCCCTGGAGCCCTGACCGACTGCGGTGTCAGCAGACCCGCCAGCCCGCCAGCTCGGCCTGTGCGCCTTCCTGACCGCTGACAAGAGGTCCCGAAGGTAACTCGGGCACTGGAAGGCGGCAGTGTGAACACCAGCCACGCCTTTCGGCGCGTGCAGTGAAGGGACGACTCCCAGGGGCGTCTGAAGCACACAGAAGCTGAGGGGCGCCAAACTAAGTCAGGCAAGGACACACGGGTGCTGCTCTGGAGCAACCCCTCGTGGCGGGCACAAGCAAGCAGCGCAGGGCATGCAAGCGCTTTCCTCCCCGAAGCTGAGGGAAGCCGCGAAGCAGCCACCACACTGGGAGCCCACCAGGCCACCAGGTTCCAGCCACCGCGGTGCCCAGGGGGTGCCTCCAGGCCCTGCTGCCCAGCCACGAGCCCCCCTGGGCCCTTCCTTCCTCCCGCCCGCAGCTGTCGCTGTTCCTGAAGCCACCGCCTCCTCCTGTTTCACTGCCCCAACTCCAAGGTGAGCAGCCCAGGAAAAAAACCACGTGGCCTAGCGTTACGCAGAAAATGACTGTGAGACGCGGGTGCCGAGTCCCCGGAGCTCACAGCAGGGAGAAGCCAGAATTCTCACTTGGGCTCTGTGGATGTCTGTTGAGATCAGAACTTCTAGATAAGTGGGGCTTTCATGAGTCTTCAAAACTCAAGGAAGCCAAAGGAGAGCGCAGAATGTATCTTCTATGGTCTGGGCTGACCGCAACGACAGGGGCCGTGTGCAGCTCGTTTGCCGACCAGGCAGCCCAGCTTGGTCACTGCCCCTCGGCTGGTCACCAGAGCGGCCGGGCAAGGCCAGGGCTGGCTGCGCTCCCCTTGGTCCACTGCATCTCCACGGCGCTCTACACAGCCCCCAAGCTGGTGCTCCCAGCAAGTTTGCCTCGAGCACCCCGCGAGCCTCTGAGAGGCGCACCCCATGCTCTTTTCTAATTGCCCCACACGTCAGGAAGCTGCCTAGGCGAAGGCCAAGGCGTTGCCACCGCTGTCCCTCAGAGCTCGGGGTCTCCGTCTTTCCCTTCACGGCAGAGCCCCCAACGCACGTGGTGAGCAACGGGGGTGCGCAAGGGTCAGCCTTGCTCGGGGACCTAAGCAGAGCGTATCAGACACAACAAAAATTGAGTAAAAAGAGATTAAAGAAAAGCAAAAAGTAGAAAAGAAAAAATGTATCAAGACAAAAAAAGAAATTTTAAATACAAAGGAGGAAAACGGAACCACAACAAAGTGGGAAGCTGTATTTATTAAAATGGCTGAAGACTATTTTTTAGCTGTCAGATCCTCAAGAGCTGATAAAAACCTCTCCTACCAGACAGCACCAAACTGCCCTGGACGACTGTTTCCAGGCGCAGGAACGGCGTTACAGGACGGTTTCCACCACTTGACCCGTCACCCCACTGCTGGCCGGCCCTGGGAGGCTCATGTGGCCGGGCTGTGTGGCCCGGCGGGGCCTTCCGCCCCACCCCAAGATGCCGGTCAGCACGGTAGCTGTCTGTGGCCAGTCACGTGGGGACACCAGGGTGAGGCATTTGGGCACGGGAACCTGCTCCCCAAGTGCCTGGCACCCGGGGGAGATGCTGAGCACAACCACGATGCCGCACGTGAATGCACGCGCTGAGGAGGCGCGCCCACGCTGACCGGGGCTCAGGAGCGCGCGCAGAGCAGCGGCGGCGGCAGCCAGGCTCCGTCTGAGAAGAGCGGTGGGCGGCGAGGCTGGGAGGGCGGGAGGGCGGCGCTCGCGCGGCAGCACCAGCCTGCGCTGTGCTTAGTGTGGGCAGGCGGAGACATACCCGCGCCCAGCACCCGCGCCGAGGGCCCCCAGCAGTGACGCCCAGATCCTGGCTCCCGACACCACCGCCCATGGAAGGAACCCGTGTCACCTGGAGCCACCCAATTCTCGGGTCCGGGCCGGGGAGCCTTTCGGGGTGCCAGAAAGCGAGCAAGTCACAAGCAGCGGAGACAAGATGGACCGGCTCAAGCACGAAGCAACCCAGCACAGGAAGCCCTCGTTCACGGCAGCCCCTGGAAAGCGGCTCTGGGCTCCGTGACCAACCAGCAGCCTCCAGTGACAGGAGCGCATCGCCACGACTCGGCATCAGCGATGGCGCGATGGAGCAACATTGAGCCTGACGTCACTTGAAGGGATGCTTTACTAGCCACAAACCACTCATAAAATAACTGAACTGTACTGACTCAAATAGCTGCATGAATGGGGGAGGAGAGACATTTTCCTGACACAACCGCACAGAAATGTGGACTCTCCCCAGCCCGGAAGCGCCCCGCCGACCCCGACCTTTGAGAAGGGCAGGAAGTCTGGGCGGGAGAAAAGCAGCTCCATCAGGGCAGCCTGGGGAGCATGCCTGGGGCGTCAGGGTCCAGGGCATCCGGGACGGGCCTGTGAGTGCCTGTGCCCCCGACATGAAGGGCCTAGAGGGGCACTGCACCCCTGCCCCTGTGCTGTTCTCCCCCACAAACCCTACACTCCCACCAGGAGAAAAACACTGGACGAAATCCCGCAGAGAGACACCGCGCAACACCTGAGTGTTCTCCGACGGCAGGGAAGGGGGACGCTGCAGGTCACCGCGACAGGGAAGGGGGACGCTGCAGCGCAGAGGCGACCAGACAGCCTCGGGACAACCAGACGCGGCGGGGTCCTGCTCTGGCCCTGCCACAGGGACCCGGAGCGCTAGCCGACAGGAATTTACTGGGCGATGGGCGTGGGGAACATGAGGATGTGCGCTGCCTTGAAGTTTCCGTAAGCTGAAAACCATCCCGAAGCACAATGTTTGAAAAAATGAAAGGAGCCCTAGACGTGACGAGCATAAACACCTGCAAGCGGCGGCACAAACGGGTGAATGTACAGACAGACTGGAAGCAGGCACCTGCCGCCGGGAACACACCGCCGCCCCGGAACCGCCTGTGAACCTCCCGCGGCCGGAAGCGCGACGCGCACTCTGCCCAGACGGAAGGAAGGCGGGGCCACGGCGACAGGCGCCACGAGGCACGGCAGGACACAGCAGGGCTTCGGGCCAGAAATACACGCTGTCCCTTCCAAGCCTCAAAATCCCCCAGAATTACCCTGAGGACTTCCTGGGCCAGGGAAAGGTTTCTCTTCATGGGCTGAGTTTTAGACTCTGGTACCTATTTATCACACGAAGCAACGTCAATGCAGAAATAAGTGGAGAGAAGAGAGGATGCCCATCACTACGGAAGCGCAAAAGGACATTTGAATCCGGTTACCTTATGCAATCGGAGGTATACATGAGCCGAGGAGAGTTTGTCCACATGAAACCTACGAGGAATGAAAACCACTTTTAGCAAGAGGCACGAGACAACCAGCTCAGCCGCTGGCACTCATCAGGCATTCCAAAGCGCATGTCTTCGGTGCCACCCACACAACTGGGCACCGTGTGAGCACAATGCACAGCCCCAGCGAGCCTCCAGTGGGCCCCTAGGAACGCGGGGAGCCCTGCAGCTGTGTGACTGAGGGCCAGGGTGTGTCCAAGCGAGAAGCAGCTCGCTCTCAGAGACCAGGCAGAGCAGGGTTGGGAGGGGCCTGTGGAAGCTGAGAACATAGAGGAAACACAGGTAAAGAAATTCCAGGCGAGAAGAGAAGGAGTAAATGAAGCCATAAAGACCCCAAAGAAGGAGGCTGAGGCCCCACAGGACCAACAGGAACACACCTCACAGTCGGGAGAGAAGAGGGGCTGGACGTCCTGAGTTTCAAGCAAAGGCAAAAAAATCCGAAAGAATGTCAACCAGAGAGTTGGGGCAGGGGAGGCCTGAGGACAGAAGGCAGCCCAGCAGAGGGGTCCACAGAAGGGGAGCCACGAGCGACCAGCCCTGAGCTCCGACTGCAGCACTGAGCCACTGAGAGCACGCGACCGCCCTGTGACACTGTCCTGGCAGCACTCAGAATGCCCCGGGCACGATCGAAATCTACCTTCCCAGAGGCGCCAACCGCCCAGCAACTTAAGGAAATCTTTTCCACTGCACGCAACCTTCAGGGATATTAGAGTTCTCGTATTTACAGTCCACCCAGCAAAGCCTACGTCGTATTTTCAGCACCCAGAGATGCCCCAGCATCCCAGCCTCAAACAGGGGACGAGGGATTCTGCTAACGTCAGTCCCCTCCTCCAAGGTCCCTCTCTGTCCGTGTGAGGAATGCTGGGTACAGCCCTAAGGAGGCACCGTCACAGCCTGCTGTTTCCGAGACATGTTCTTAGCCCAGATGTATTTTTTGGCGATGAAGACAGGGCCTTCCCTGTAGTGACACGTCTGGACTGTGTGGTGCTTCACCAGGATGAAGACTGTGCCATCTCTAATGCCCTGTGTGATGCCACCTTGGATCAAAAAAAAGACTAGGCATTTTTGCCAAACAGTCTGATGACTCAAGGTTTTATTCCAACCTTGACTAAGAGCCACAAGTGGACACAGTGTGCTTGAATTATTTTTCTCCAAGACATTTATTTACTCATTTACATTCCCATGTGAGATTCCAGGTTATTGTTTCCAATCTGGTACTTTCCACCAGAAAATGAGGATTTTCTGGTACCTCCAGAAATTACCTATCTCAATAACTCTTTCAGGACGTCAGGGAAACACCCTGTGAGTGAGTGTGCTCAAGCGAGCAGCAGCTTCTCCACAACTTTGTGCAGAAGCAGGGTGCTCCCCTGTATTCTGATGCTTCTTAAAGGCCTCGGCTGTAGCTCTCAGTCAAAAGAAAGGGCCCAAAGCTCAACAGGTAGCTAACAGCCACAAGCGCCAAGGGCAGACACGCGGCCCACCGCCACCTGGGGGCAGCTTCAGCACCACTCTGCGAGGGCAGAGAGAGGTCTCGAGTCGCAGCGACGGCCCAAGGAAGAAAAGGGACTTCCAGCCCCAAAGCAGGCAAGCCAAGAGGGGAAGAGGGAGCCGCGATTCGGAGGTAGAGCTGGGGGGTGCCACTACAGAGCGAAGGGGTTCTGTCTCCCCCAGCCTTAGTTTCCTTATCAGTGACAGATGCGGCAGGAGTAACTTCCTCCCAGGGCCATCTTGCAGTGAGATCTATCAGTGCGGGGCAGCTCGCGGTAGTGCCCACGCATGGACATTCTGACCATGAGCAAACAGGCCCGCACTGGTCTTCGGGGTGGCACCTGGTGAGGGGGTTCAGAGTGAGGAGACCACATCCGGCTCAGCAGGCAGAATTGGGCTCCAGAGTTGGGGGGACACTGGACACAGAAAGCCGGCATGCTGCATGGGAGAGCGCTACAGGAGGGCGAGAGAGAGAAGCGGGGAGTCCACCCATGCCTGAGAGGCCTGAGTTAGTGGTCAAGTCCATACAGCGAGACGATGTCTAAGAGCATAAAGCAAAACAAATTCAGCTAAGTGAAAGGGTACCTTTCTGTTAATGTGTTCTGGGGTTTGAGCAGGCTTTGTAACAGCCTCCTTAGGAGAAGGCTGAGGGAAAATACCATTATTTTAAAATGTCCATGATTTGTCAGAAAGAAGGGGCAGGGTCAAGCAGAGCTAAACTCAGGAAGGAGGTGAGAAGACAGAGGACCAAGCTGTCTCCTAACAGCCAGGTCTGGTCAATGCTTTGTCTACATAGGAGCTGGGTCTATTTTCTTCATGGCTCCTTACAAAGCCCACGTAAATGCTGTGATCTCAGTACCTTACTCTGAGCAGACAAAAAGGAGGTAAAAGCCTTTACCCCAGAGTCCTTTGCCCTTAGACCTAATCCTGAAGCATCATTTCCAGTTTCCATGGTAATGGGGGAAGCTGTGGCGGTTACCTGTTTACTGTTGATGGCTCATAAAAATGCACACCTCAAGCCAGAGTTTTAGTCAGAGTCAGGTGGCTGTCCAAGTATAAGCAAAGAATGAGTCACCAAATGCAGAACTAAAGTTGCTACTTACCAGATATCCTCAGGCCAGCCGTGCTTTATTAGGTCTTCATCTACAGTGAGACATAAGGACAGAGAACAGGTAAAGAAGGCTGTCAAATGAAGCTATTCCCGAGTTTACAGTCAGCTGGGGAGGGGAGAAATACCAGTCCTTTCCACATGCTTTTTTCTCCTTTAATGGAGAAAAATAATTCTGAGACACTTTGGATGTCTGAAAACACAAAAAAAATTATAAAAAGCTTTATAAACGGACAAGTATAATCTTTATAATTTTTAATAAAAATACTTATAATCAAAGTTCAATTACATTTCTCTCTGAGGATGACAACACTGACAACTGAGAGCAGCCAAGAGAAGCCAGAGGGGCTCATGAAATGGACTCACTGTAACAATTCATGTTTCAATCATTTTGCTAAAACCTGTGGGTTGCATTTTGGTTGTTTACAAATAATCTCAATCATAAAATTCTAGGAAATTAGGGAACAAAACAAATATCAGAGTAGAAAAAGGAAATAAAAACCACCTAAAATTCATGCAAAAATGAAAATAGAACAGCGAAGAGCCCAAAGTAATTGACAATTAGACATAAGTCCTGAGCAAGGATTCGGCGAGCTGATGTTGTTTATTGTAAGCCTGGCTATCATCTGAGTTCTTGAAACATTTGTTAGACAAAAATAAAAGTTGAACAAATTCCTAGGAAATAATGACTACTTTAATGCTGTATGGGTAAGATTTCCCATTGCTGACATCTTTGCTAATATAAATGTTCCAATAAAATTTTTTAGAAGATATGATATTCAAAATAAGATATGATATTCCTGATTCTTTCCTTAAGGTGTATTTCTAAAATGTGAAGAAGTACTAGTCCAAAAGGCATGCACATTGCTAAAGCCAGTAATATATATCACTACAGATAAGTTTATTAATACACTCTAAGCCTAGGCACATTAATAATTAGTAACTAATTGTATTTAACACAAAAGCATTATTAACACATTAGACATCAAGCTAAAGATTGTAAGGTGAAGTATAGACTCACCCTAAAAATAGGGTAGTTTTAAGTATATCCAAGAAGGATGAGGTACTTAATTTGAGCAAAATCAAAAAGATGATAAATCTGCGTAAATTTTAGCCAAAAATCTTCTAAGCAATTGCAGACACCACATGTACTCTGAAGCGAGTGCTTTCTACCTGCTTAGGTGGGAAACTGAGCAGACAGACAACAGGAAGTCAGAAAAAGTAAAAGTAAACACAGAAACCACTTTTCCTCAGCCATGCAATGTTCGGCTCCCTGGTGACACCTGCTGGCTGACGGAGCGCACAGGCCTGACGCTTCACAGGGAAATGAAGCCAGCCCAGATTCCAGGGCAGGAATCCTGAGCCTCCAAAGGCCCTAAGGTGTAAGTGTGAGGGGCTCGCACTGCACTGTCCTTACAGGTGGAGCGTCTGGCTGACTCCAACAGTCCTTGAGGGGAAGGTGTTCTATATCCGGATGTCCCATTTTGACTGCAAACTACCACCCCATAGTACGTCAGGAATAATCTAAATGTACATCTGTAGGGCTCCCTGGTGGAATAGGGGTTAAAGACAGCGCTCTCAAGCTATCTCCAGCTACTGTGGTCCAAGTATGATCCCTGGCCAGGGAGTGGCCCACATGGCGTAGCAGATTTCTCCTGACCGGCACCCACTGCTCCCCACAGCAGTGGATTTCACTAGGCCGGCTGGTTCTGCTCCCCACTCTGTCTCTGCTGAATCCTCTCACTGTCCCTGCACATTTGGCCTGTACCCCAGTTCTGTATGCATAAATAAATCTTTATTTAAAAAAAAAAAGTAAAGCAAAAGAAAGGGCACAGTGAATAGTGAGTTTTTTTATGAATTTTTGTTTTAGTTATATATTTTACACAGTATGAAAAAATGTATTTCATTCTGAAGAGAGTGGTCAACAAACTTTGAAAAATCAAACAGCCTTTCATGATGCCAAAAGTCATCTTCAGTCAAAAAAACCACACTTACCTTAAATGTGGCAAAATTGTATAGAAAATTATCTTTTCAAAGTCAAAGCCACAGTTTATTTTTATTTGATCTAATAAATTAACAGGTTAATTTCTAATTCATACTACCCTAAATCAAGTAACAACACAAAAATCTTGGTGAAGTTTCCAATCAAACAACAGGTAGACCCATCAACTCAAATACTGATGAAGTTAAATTCTGGGGAACTCGGCTGGAGGTTCTTATATTATAATGAGTTATTTAGTAGCATCAACAGATGGTTCAAAACTCTCAACTTTAGGGGGGCAAGACAATGCACGCTTACCTGCTGGAAATTTCAAAATCAAATGCTTTTGGACACTTACTTTCGTATTTATCCTTTCCCATGTAAATAGTGTAAGCAGATGAATTAACTATGACAAAACAAAAATAAAAACCAGTTAGATAAATTCTGTCACCAACCAAGCTGTTTCATGAGAAAAGCAAGTGGCAAGCAGTGAGAGGCTGGCAAGACCCCTTCGGACAACACAGCCCTGGCGTGAGATGGTCCTTTAGCTGAGAAATAGTTTTACATCTTCAAAGAATTGAAAAGTAAAGCAAATAATAAGCTACAGGGACTGTCGGCAGTTCACAAAGTCTAAAATATTTACTATCTCACCCAGACAGCCAGTTTCCTGACCCTTGCAAATGGCCACGCTGCTGCTTCCTGGGGGACTTAATTCAGTGAATTCAAGTTCCGGCCTATGCACTTGCCGCCTTCAAACAATTTAAAATTAAAAAGCCAAAGAACTTTTACCCCAACTATTTAAGAACAGCTTCTTTTACGAAGCCCCTTTTTAGTTTTCATAATTTGACTTAGCCAAAACTATCTTCTATTACTATCTTATATCTATGTAGCTACAAATTATAATGGTCTCTCAACCCTATCAAGAAGAAACACTGCTCACAAACAACTGCCACATCAGCGGCTCTGAACCCTGGCTATTCAGCATCGGGCCCGTCTCACTGAGCAAGTGGGGTGAGGGGGAGACCTGTACTTGTCAACTATTCTCCAAGTGTTTCTAATGAAAGTCAGCCCCAGGACCTGCAATCCCAACTCAAGTGGAAGATTCTGGGTGTGGCCTACCCACCAAGTGACACTTGCTTCACTGCACCTTAACCAGGATCCTCCACCTGGAGTCAGTCAAACTGGATCTAACCAGTAACTGGGCGCCTGAGTCTCCAAGCTCAGCTACCAAAACATGCTCCATCCATCTGGCTCTCCGCTCCGGCTCCGGCTCCAGAGGCCCTCGGTCTACACTGCCCAGCAGGAGTGGGCAGGGCCCTCTCTGAGCTCAGAACTGAGACAAGTGTCGGGAACACCCTTTTGCATATAAATCCTTCAACCTGGGCTTCCCTGCACTGCCAACAGTGAGAAGCCCCCTAGATCATCCAGCAGTCACCTCTCCTGGGAGGGAACACTCCCAGGTCCTTAAGTGTCTCCATGTCCACAGCTCACACTTACTTGCAAGTAGCTGCTGAAATACATAGCTTGAGAGGATGTTTGAACTGATGTTTGCTGGTGGACATATCTGTGTGGAGCAGTCACTATATTGCATGGTAAGGCCTGAGCACAGCAAATACAGGTCGGACGTGCGTTGTAAAATTGTTGGGAGTGACCAAGTGCGGAGATTTACTGAGGGACTGGATAAGGGCAGTAATAAATCAGGCCTTGCATCCAAAGGTGATAAGGCAGTAATAAACTGGGCCTTGCATCCAATTAACAGGGTATTGCATCCTCGATGGGACTAGATAAAGGTGCTAACAAACTGGGCCTTACATCAAGGGACACAGCGATGAGTCACCCCTTTGGAATTTGAGCTTAAAATCTATATAAGAGACCCTTCCCCCCTATAGGGGTGGCAGTAGCTGCGACCCCGTCTCAGGTGCTGTCCCGGAGCAATAACCTCTGCTTGCTCAGCCTTTCTGCCTCCCGCCTTCCTTTCTTGCGGCCAGTCACAGAAGTGGGGACAAAACAAAAATAATGTTCAGATTCTCTGCACAACCTGGCAGGACTTCAGGCGTCTGCCCCTTGGGCCCTGTGAGGCTACCTACAGGAGTATATCAGGGAACAGCCCACCAGCACTGATGTTCTCTGTACAGACTAAATCAGCACTAAGACTGGTTAGGAGCATTAGAGAACATCCAGAGACAAAATGCCAAGGGCGGGAGAGTGGGGTGGTTGGGGGGTGGGAATTAAACAGAATCGCATTTTTACATATTTATACAAAGTAAGACTCAATTTGAAAAAACTAATGATTATAATTGTGCATACATGTATACATATTTACATATTTTTTAAATACAGACACCCAGTTTCTTTACACATATGGAAAGACATGTATCTGTTAGCAATATTTAATGGTTAGCTCACTTACAAAATGGATGGCTTTTGTAATAGAACAAGCACAATCTTAAAAATGTTTAAAGTAAAGTTGCCTAAATTGTAACCTGGAAAATGATGGACTGGACAGATCTATAAAATGAGATGGCTAAAAACATAACTGCTATAAACCTGAACTGAGAAGCATTCCACAAAATAATTCTTCACATCAGGATGAAAGGGGAATAAAAAACCCAAAAGAGAGGCTGCTGCAGTGCCGGTTTCCAGTTTTGATAAAGGTCTCTCGGTACGGGAATGTCTTTGGCGTTGGACGATAAAATCACTTTTTGCAATTTACAAAGAGCTCAGGAAAGAAATGTATGGAGAGATGGAGAAAAACGGCAGAAAGAAGGAAAAGAGATAAAGCAAATGTGATAAAATGTTAGGACTTGGAGACTCAGTAGAATATAAAGGAATCTTCGACCACTCCTGTAAATTTTTGAAAGACTAAAATGTTGTAATAGGAAATTAAAAGACGCATGACAACTGAGCGAAACGTCTACATTCGGCCCCTACCTACTTTAAAGGGATAAAGGAAAACAAGTGGAATTAGTCTAGCGCTTGTTATTCTCGCCCAAATAACATGACTGATCAGTACAGAAGCACCTCGGGATGGTACTGGATTCAGGTGTCACAACCAACCCAATTTAGAGGCTCAGTGGTAATTGAGTAATTAACAAAATGGTGGCAAATAAAATGTCATTAAAGGTACTAAAAGTACAAACCGACTTACTGCGCCAGTGTAGGCATTTTTTGGGGTCCATCATCAGACAGTCTTAAAACGTGGACAATAGAAATATAGTGAGGCTAATGTTTCATCATTCCATGATGATGCAAATACAAATAAAAATTGAACAGATTAAACTTAATCAGAGATACGAATCGTTAAACAAAAGGAAAGGAAAACTTTTCTGTATGATTTTCTTCTCATCATTTTTATGCAGTAAGCCATGAGCTGGTTGCCTGCGATCCTCAAGAATTCTGTATTGCAATATGTATAGTTTCACTATTTCCCTTAACTTTACAATTTTTAAAAATTCACGGACAAGCAGTTTTATCAGACATAGAAGCCAGTTTTCCTGCAGCAAGTTCTGATGTTGTAATGGAGGCCAGAGAGGAAAACAGGGCCCATGTATACTCTGCTCCTCCAACGGCACTGGTTGTGTGACTGGTACTCAACGGCTTTAAGGAAAACACAGCAGCCGGCAGAGCACCTCAGTACCTTTATACTCACTTGGGGGGCTTGGGGAAGTGGCGTCTACGTTTTGGAGGACCCATGACTGGAGAAGCTAGAAACGTGCTTTGAACAGAGAGAGCAGAACAAAGATGAAAATGATGTAAGGAGCTTATAATGATCTTTCAAACTATTTGTTATTGTTTCTAGTCATTGGAATGAAGTGATTGAGGCAAACTAAATCTGCGGAGACAGGGAAATGGCTTACTGCATACGGTGGGGCTCTGAAACCAAGAGATGTGACAAATGATGGAGCAGGAAGAGCAGGGGCCTGTGAGCTACCACCTCCCTGGGCCTGGTGTGCAAGTCCTGCCAATTAAAGCCATGACGACGACATGGAGCGGGTTCCACTGTCGCACCTTCAGCAAGCAAGCAGGAAGAGTCGCAGCACTGTACTAAGTCAGTCAAGACACGCCATTCATTTATGCGAAAATGATTTATTAACTATGAGCAGGCTCTATCCCTGCCCTCAAGGGGCTTACACGCTAGCTCAAGGAGACACCTAAGAGCGATGCCAAAGGCATTATCTAGGAGGTTACGGGAGGGGCCGGGAGGGATGAAGTACATCTAAGCAATGCCTGGGTGGGTCCTAGATCGAAAAGGCACTGCTAACCGACAGGCCAGAGCTGGCATGAACAAGTGAAGTGGAAGCAGGTTCGCGGCAAAGCGACCACCACGAGCAGCAAAGCAAGACCAGAGACAGCAGTTTCTGGGAATGAAAAGCAGCAACATCGTCACATGTCGCTCTTCAAGATCTGGGACAGCAGCTCTGCCCAGTGAGTGGCCGGGTCGCCATCCCAAGGTGATCTCTCTTCCGCGGCCTTCTACTGCATCCCTGGACCTAGAACCCTTTCGGAGGGCAAGGCGCACTTCCGCAAGGCAGGGTGGCTGGCAGGTGTCTGCTTTCCTTCTCAAAGTGGCTAACTACCAGGCCGCAGCCGACGCGGCAGGAAAATGAAAAAACCAGCAAGGACTTGGGGCGCGGGCGCGGAGATGCCGCCAACGCTGCCCAGGTCCGGCAGGGCTTTCTGGGTGGGGGCCCAGCGCGGCAACCGGGCGCACAGACCCCGCCAGGCGGCCCCTGCCGCCCCCCGCCCTGCCGC